TCAAGGGGTTTGTCTTCTTTCCTTGCAGACCTCCTTGACTTTGGAGCTTCAGGCACACTGTCAGCCATGTCTTCATTGTCAAGGGGTTTGTCTTCTTTCCTTGCAGACCTCCTTGACTTTGGAGCTTCAGGCACACTGTCAGCCATGTCTTCATTGTCAAGGGGTTTGTCTTCTTTCCTTGCAGACCTCCTTGACTTTGGAGCTTCAGGCACACTGTCAGCCATGTCTTCATTGTCAAGGGGTTTGTCTTCTTTCCTTGCAGACCTCCTTGACTTTGAGGCTTTAGTTACACGGGTAGACAAGTCTTCATTTTCAGGGCTCTTTTCTTCCTTCTTTGCGGATCGTCTTGACTGTGGAGCTTTAGTTACACTTCTAGTAGTCATATCTTCATTGTCAAGGCTCTTGTCTTCATTCCTTGCAGACTTTCTTGCTTTCACAGTTTTTACATCATTCTCTAGTGTAGTATCTTCTTTAGTGCTCTTTCTTGACCTTCTGCCACGAGATGACTTGGGGATTACATCAACTGTCTATAAGTATTGAAAGGCATAGTTAGGATATTGTTTTAAAGATGGAACAACAAATAGAAAACAGCATATAATAATTATAATCATATCAAAGTGCACAGGCAAAGCTGCAAAGTCATGGTTTCATAAAAGTTTTCAGTGCAAGTTTTTGCTCCAAAGGCAGAAAAGATACCACATCACCTTGAATTACTTTCTAAACACAAAATGAAGTTATAAATTATCAATATTATAGAGCATTATCCACATAATTTATGAAGTCTGGCACATCTTCTGCATTGCTTTGCAAACTTCCACATTTTTGTGGACAATGACTTTATAAGTATACCTGTAGGACAATAAAATATTACTCAAAAATGTTTGAAATCAAATTGAGAATGTGAAATTACCTTTGTGGCAACAGGGTGATCATCATCTCCTTGAGTTACTCTCCCTCTMCCTCTTCTCACTGGTCTTATGATAATTTCACATACTTCCTGGGGGTTTTCCTGGTTATCTGACATATTATTGGTTGTGTTATTGTTTTTATCACTTTTGCTCTTGGTAGCTTTGGGTGTTGGAATTCCCTGGGATGAGACATCTTCACTGTCTGGACCTACCTGCAGGTAGAAAGTTTACAAGTAAATGTTAGAAGACTAAAGTTTTAGACCTTCTGGAAGAAAATTTTATGCCTTAATGAATAGATTCAAAGTATAAACTATTGTAATAACCATCGTTAGCACAAATAAGCTGATAACTACTACTATACTTGTAATTAAAAAATTCAGCAAAGTTTGAGGTGTCATACTTCATTCACGTGGCTGTCTAGTCCATAGGCTTGAGTGGCTTCATAWGTATCCTGGATGGCTGTAGACAATCAAAACCAGTTCATTCAAAGAGTATAGACTTACAAGGTTGAAAGGAATGATATGGTAATTGTAAGAAGGATAWTTGTGCAAAATCGTATTCTTCATGGTTAACGGTTGTCTTGCTTTGATGTGAAGGMACATCTACCTTTCAAGATGGCGCAGGGAACCGTGCASGAGACTRTTGCATCAATTATTTATCAATTATGTTTAACATTAACMAGCCAATTTCAAGTTGAAGATCATTACTTTATAATGTAGATAAAGTTATCCAGTATGTCAGGCACTTAAACGTTATCATTCATTCATAAATAATTTTGTGAATGGATTTGAGTTATTTATTCATCTTCAATCAATAACCCACCTTCACTTTCTTTGCTTTCAATTTTCTCTTTSTCACTTTCATKGATTCCTGATGGTCCAGCAGCRTTGCTGTCTAAAGTCTCGTCATCTGTTTCAGAATCGTCTCCTACTCCATAAGCCTGAGTCTSTTGRATMACTRCATCTTCAGCWTTTCCTCTTTCAAGGTCATCTGTATCTGTAACRTCATASGGYAAAGTTGGCTCTACAACTACTGGTAAGTTTGCAGTTTCTGTTGARGYTTTATGTTGATGTTTGTCTGGTGAATCTTCTTCTGTTTCGGCATCATAAGCTTGAGTTTCCATCATACTATAGGGAAATGTTTGTTCTACAACTTCAKTTACTTTACCACCTTTCACAATTGKCTTTTTAAACATTTTTTCTCCCTCTGTTGTATCTTCGTCAGCATCATAAGCTTGTGTCTCCATCATACTGTAAGGTARGGTTGGTTGAAGGTTACTTSCTGTTTCTTCAAATGCATCATAAGCTTGAGTTTCCATCATATTGTCTACATTTTGTGTTACTTTATTGTCAGAAACACTTGGTTTTTCAAAATCCTTATCTGTTTCTTCCTCAATTATGTTCTCATCAGCTTCATATGCTTGCGTTTCTTGCATGCTGTATGGTAACGTTGGYTGCAAGTCCTTTGTGAATTGTACACGTCCYTTTCTATGTCCTTTTGGACCCTTGTTTATTTTATCAGATTCTGCTGTTTCACTTTCACTATGGTCATGTGCTCGTTGTTTACCATTTTTTACATCTGTAGACTCAGAATCACCCATTCTAGTCAACACATCTTTGTCCTCAACTTCATAAGCCTGAGTCTCCATGTCATCTATACCATATGGCATTGTGGGCTCCACAGAGGTTTCTTTGATTTGTTTCTCTTCATCACTGCTGTCTGCAACAGTGTCTTCTGCAGGGTTTGTWGTAGCATACAAGTCAGGGTTAGACTGCTCATCGTCTGTTGAATCTTCATTGTTTTCAGTGCTTTTCATATTAGCAGGATAAGCTTGGGTTGGTTGAAACCTTAAATCATCATCTTCATCATCTGAAAAATTACACGTTGTCATTAAAATTCACTATTAATTATATCTTGCCTAGCAATATGTAATAAGCTAAGAAGYTTGGTGTCTATTTTTATAATTTATCTATAGTAGTACCTATAGTAGATAATAAGCTCACAAACTTGCAAATTAATCGCATAGTGGCTTGAGTTTCATTCTGAGTTAATAGCCACAAAAATTAAATTAAAAGATGCTACTCAAAACTACACRCCAGCTAAAATAATCACAACATCAGTGTTTTGATAAATTTTCATGGTACCTACATATCATATGAAAATACACTGAAAATTATGGGTACCACAGAGAGAATGCCACCTACCAGTAGCATCACTATCATTCCAAGTGTATGCTTGTGTAGCACTTTCATCAAAAGATAAGGTTTTTTTGACACCATCTTTGTCTTCTTCATCATCACTCTCGGGTATGTTACTGATTTGCAAACCCTTTTCTTCAGTATCTGCTGGTGTTTCCTTGATATAAGACTGTGTTGGCAAACAAAATGAGGTCTCTTTTGGACTAAACCCTTGAGTTTCAGGCTCAAATATTTCAGCAGATGATGATGATGATTCATGTGACTTTGAATTACTGCCCACATTGTCTTGTATATCAGTATTGTATAACAAAGTTGCAGGTGTATCTACTACAGCTTTCTCTGGTGAAACTTCACTGGTTTCACTGGACAAAGACCTATCTTGTGTTTGWKCACTGTAYARCAATGTYGCAGGAGTATTTCCTAGAGGTTTCTCAGGTGAAACATCACTGGTTTCACTGGCCAATGACTTATCTTGTGTTTGTGTGCTGTATARCAATGTTGCAGGAGCATTTTCAATTTGCTTGTYGRAAGAYTTTGGAGATAAATTCCTTGTTGAACCATCTTGTGTTTGTGAAGCATAGAGCAGCGTTGAGGGCAYRCCATCTTTCTGTGAGCTTGTTGCTTCATTTTGRGTATAAAGTAGTGTTGCTGKAGTTTCCTTCACAGCTTGTTTTGGAGTTGGTCTGACAACAACACAAAATGACTCAATAGGAGTTTAATCAAGTAGTTTTGATTCTAAGCACACATGTTTTTAAATGTTTTGGAATAGGCACTATGCTATATCGTTTTGAAAGAGGTTCAGCATATATAATTTGTAACTTTCCAAGAGGATTGTCAGACATTTTCAGACAAATTAAGAATTTAAATTCATAACTTGTGGACTTCCTGTGGGATGACATTGTCTCTTATGTTAACCTCCATCTACCAAATGATCTAGTGGGCATGAAGGATTAGAGTTTATATTCTTCAGGGATTACTCTAAACCTTTCCAATAATACGATKTGGAAACCCTTTCTCAAGATTACCAATAGTTCTGTATAGTATGTGCAGGTGTACCTTATAAAAGGTCTTTCATCWGTGGGGCTAACCAATCCAAAAGCMAGGGTTCCACCTTCAGAACTAACATCAAGAGCAGAGTCTTCACCTTGAAAAAAATATTTTCAGTATATTAAAGGAACCATTTTMTGAATTATTAACCATTAATCACACACCTTTAYGTGGGATAACATCATGTGGCTTTTTTGTAATGATTTCTTCATCTTCATCATAGGAATCATACATGACTTTTGGTACTTGGGGCTTGCTTTCCTGGTTGTCATCTGTTGGTAATTTGACCAATTTAAAATAGTTATAAATATTCATCAAATATCAGAGCACTTGATTTGTAGAATGATTAAAAATGTGTCATATRTTTGTCTTGGTCTTATTAGCAAGAGTAAGAATGTTCTCTGAAATAGTGCATGCCTTGACAGATTTTCCAAAAGCTACAAGCAGGGTTTTACAGTCAAATTTCACCTTGTTGATACACCAGTGCGGGGGGTTTCAGTAATAGGCAGTTACAATAGTGCTGCCTATTTTACCTCTTTTCTATGACTGAATTGTTTGGGACACAGACGATTACTTCAGTCACTCAAATGCTTATTCAAAAGCCCTGCAGTATTAGTAACTTTATCATCTATTTTCATTTATATGTGAMTATTATTATCATGATACAAACCCTTTGAAGTTTGTGCTTTTGATTTATCAAGTTTRCTTGGTTTTTCATCATCAGTGTCAGAATCAGTATCGGYAGCATAAACCTTTGAAACATTSTCTTTRGYTTCATTGGYAGTAACATCAGTTGTSGTTGCATCRATAGGTAGCATAGACTCAGAACCTGTCTCCGAGCCTGTRTCATCATTGTCATCATCAAGCTAGATATCAT